ATAAAAAATAAAAAAAAAAAAGAAATAAAAAAGGCTCTGAAAATTAGGACATAAATTTTTTCTCCGAGAATATATATTTTAAGTATATAATATCATATATCATCTCATATTATTTTTGCTTTTTTAAAAAATTTTAAACTATTTATATTATATTAAATTAATTTAATCATTAAATATACTAATTTAAAAATTATTAAAATTATTTTGATATTTCGAATTGATATTAATTTAATTCGAATTTCTAACCGCCGTTGATACTTTTTGTTTATTTTTTTTTTTTTTTCTTTCTTTTGTTTTTTTTGTTTTGTTTTCTTTATTTTTTTCTTAAAATTTGATTTTATTTTGTTTTAATTTTTTATTTTATTTTTTCTCATAATTGCTCTATAGAAAAGAGAATTAATAAGAGTAATAACTAATAATTAATAACTAATATCATATGAGAATGGGGTATCCGGCTGTTATACGGAAACCGTATAATCTTTATCGTTATTATTTTTTATCAGAAAAGCAAACAAATGAATTTGATTTGAATTGGAATTTGAATCCAATGGATTCAATTCGTAAGTTGTATCACTACAAGCCAAGATCATTTGCAGAAGGTTTACATTATACTTTTCTTTTTTCCACAATATTATTTGTGTTTATAATTTTACCAGTTTCATTTTTTGTCAAATTTTTAATTTTTGCATTTTTCAGTTTCTTATTTACAGTTCCAATGTTATCTCAATTTTTTTTCAGTGCTTTACCTATTTTAACATGGGTTTTTTTCTATTTTTCAGCATCAAAAATTCCAACTTCTTGGAGACCACCAATTTCAGTTAAATATTTACCATCAATGGAAACTATTTTTTATGGTGATAATTTAAGTGATATCTTGGCAACTTCAACCAATATGTTTTTGGATTTATTGGCTTGGTTCCCTTATGGAATAATTCATTTTAGCGTTCCATTCATATTGGCTGCATTTATCTTTTTATTTGCTCCTCCAACAGCTTTAAGATCTTATGCAACAGCTTTTGGTTATATGAATTTACTTGGTGTCATTGTACAAAGTACTCTTCCAGCTGCTCCTCCTTGGTATAAAGTATTATATGGATTGGAACCAGCAGATTATTCAATGACAGGTTCTGCAGGTGGATTGGGAAGAATAGACAAATTATTTGGTTTTGATATGTATTCATCAAATTTTGCAAATTCTCCAGTCATTTTTGGAGCTTTCCCATCATTACATAGTGGTGCTGCTACAATGGAAGCTTTATTCTTGTCATATTTATTCCCAAGATTTAAACCTCTTTGGTGGGGATATGTTTTCTGGTTATGGTGGTGTACAATGTATTTGACCCATCACTATTTCATAGATTTAATTGCTGGATCTTGTCTTTCATTGATTTGCTTTGCAACTGTCAAATATACAACATTGCCAATAAGAGACAGAAACAAGTTTTGCCGTTTTAGTTATACAAAACTTGAATATGTCAATTTGATCTCTTTAGATCCATCACCAAATTATCATCCATTAAATGACAATATAGATGAAGAAATTGAACTCGCATCAATGGATCCTTCCACTCCGATCTCAAATCTATCGGTTTCTGTCAACAACAACAGCAATCGCAGCAACAGCAGCAGCAACAATAATAATAGAGCAGAATCACCAATCTTAACCTCATCAAATGTCACCTTACCGGTTAACGCTACTTCTGCTCTTTTCCCAAACGGATTGTATCAACGTTCGGTTAGTTCTTCTTCAAACAGTTCAACTGCTGGATCAATATTTGATGAAGGCGGAAAATCAATACCCAATACCTCTTCAACAAGCTTGAGCAGTTTGGATGGAAGCAGTAACAAATGAATCAAATAACAGTTTTTGAGAAAAATCAGCATAGAAACTAATTTTATCCATTCATTTTCAAAAGTTTTTTTTTCATAATAAAAAAAAATAAAATAAAAAAAAAGAATACATATATAATGAAAGGGAGTCATTTTTAATGAAAGTTTGTGTTTATTTGTCGTTGTCTTTTTGTTTTAATACCTGGGTAATTGTTTTTTTATAATCATTTAATATGAATTTGTCTTTTAATTAATTTTCTTGAAAAGAAAAAAAAAAATAAATAAAAAAAAATATTTACATATATTTTATATACTTAATTCATAATCATAGTAATAATTAATAAATAATAATTAAAATTAATGAAATTTAATAATAATTCAATTCAATTGATTGTAGAATTTATTTTGTGATGGGTTAAAAGTATGCTGCTGATTAAGAAAACATTACCAAAGACAATATTTTTGAAAAATTGGGAATACAAACAAGAAAACGTTACCACTTGGAAACCTTGTTTAAATTCAGAAAATTCAATTTCAGAAATTCATCTAGAATTAAGATCTAACAATGAAATTGATGAACCTTTTTTAAATGATAACGAAAAATATTTACAATGGATAGGTTTAAAAAATTGGGAATATAGATCTCATTTTAAGATAAGCTATAATGATAACGATAATGGAAATGATAAATTTAAATTGATTTTTTATGGTTTGGATACTTTTGCTAAAATTTACTTGAATGGTTCATTGATTTTAACTACTGATAACATGTTTGTAAAATATTGTGTTGATGTTGATCCAATGATTCTTAATGTTGATAATCAAAATGATGGTATTAATGAATTAAAAATATTGTTTGAAAGTTCTTTACTTAAATCAAGAAATTTGTTTTTAAATGGGGATTTTAAACCCAAAGGTTTTAATGGAGAATTGAGTAGATGTTTGATTAGAAAAGCTCAATATCATTATGGATGGGATTGGGGTCCTATCTTCATGACATGTGGACCTTATAGACCAATTGAATTCCTACATTATAATCATTGTTGTATTTTAAATAAGGATGAAATTTATATCCATCCTAAATTTAATGACAATAGTTTAAACAATATCGAATTGATTGTTGAAAATATTCATGTTGAAGTTTCAGAAAAAGGATATCTGATAGTTGTTGAATTATACTTACCCACAGGTGAACTTTCCCAATCTCAAGAAATTCTAATTGATAATTCTTCCGTTAATATTTGTACTAGTTTCAAATTAAAGAAAGCTTACCTATGGTATCCTTCAGGTCATGGCTTACAGCAACTATATTCTCTTAATATTAACTTGATTCACAAGGGAAATATTGCATCAGAACTTGAGCCAGAAATTATGGATAGCATTAAAGATAAAAAATTTGGTATCAAAAAAGTAGAATTGATACAAGATAATTTTCTTAATTCAAATATACCAGGTAAAACTTTTTATTTCAAAATCAATAATAAGCCAATTTTTTGTAAAGGATCTAATTGGATTCCCGCTCATTCATTTCAAACATCACTAACGAAAGATGACTATATAAGATGGTTGGAACTAGGAGTACATGCTAACCAAAATATTTTAAGAGTCTGGGGAGGTGGCTACTATGAAAATGAATGGTTTTACGAAGAATGTGATAGGTTGGGAATAATGGTTTGGCAAGATTTTATGTTTGCCTGTGGACAATATCCAGGTAATTCGAAATTTCGTGAATCAGTTAAGCAAGAAGTTTCTTATCAAGTAAAAAGATTGAGAAATTATTGCTGCTTAATTCTATATTGTGGAAATAATGAGGATTATCAAGTCATTGAGCAACTCAAATTAACTGATAAGGAATTTGAAGCCAAAATTATATACGAAAAAGATATAGCCCAAATTGTAGCAGAATTACATCCCTTGATACCTTATCATCCTGGTTCTCCCTATTCTGATCCTAAATTGTTATCAGATGACCCAAACGTGGGTGATATTCATCAGTGGAATATTTGGCATGGAACTCAGGAACGTTATCAAGATAGCTGGAAATTAGCTGGAAGGTTCATTAGTGAATTTGGAATGATAGCTTTTCCCAACTACAAAACTTTAAAGCAATCGATTGATCATGAAAAACAATTGTTTCCTCAAAGTGAGCTTGTGAACTTCCATATGAAAGCTGATGGTTCTGAAGCAAGAATTGGACTATATTTAATGAGTAATTTCAAAATTATTAAAACTGATTTGAAATCGTGGATTTATTATACACAATTATTACAGAGTGAGTGTTTAACATATTGTTTCAGGAATTGGAGAAGAAACTGGTCTACAGATGGGAATAGGCTAACTTCAGGTATAATTGTTTGGCAATTAAATGACTGCTGGCCAGTTACATCTTGGGCTATAGTGGATTTTTATAAAAGACCGAAACTCGCTTATTATGCAGTTAAGAGAGAATTCGCATCAATTGTTTTAGGTTTTAATAGATCCAAAATTGATCCACAAACAGGTAACCATATTGAAAAAGATGAGAAACAAGATAATACTCATCAATATTTTTTGTTTAAAGAAAAATTAGAGATTTTTGGAATGTCGTCATTATTCAATGATTTAGAAGTTTATTTGAATTTGAAGTATTTTAATGCAGAAACTGGGGTAGAAATTGAAAAATTGCTGGTCAAAAGTTACAAGACAAAACTCAAAGCAAATGGAACTTCTGAATTAACTGAATTAACTGTAGTATTGCCCTATATTCATAATGAAACTGATCAAGATGAAAATTTAAAGAAAATAGTTGTATTTGGCACCTTATCTGATCTTCAAGGTAATATCCTATCAAGATCAAGTGATTGGCCACAACCTTTAAAATATATTTCTTTAAACTACACTGATAAAGATTTGAAGTTTGAACTGAAAAATGGGTGTGTACTTGTTTTAGCCAAAAAACCAATAAAGTGTGTACAGTTCTACATGAAAGATGATAGCAGAGTCGATCAAGTTTTTTTCCATGATAACGGCTTTGACTTGTGTCCCACTTCGGAGTTCTACACTGTTCCAGCAGATGGCTTACTTGAAACTGATGACATTGGTGTAGAGTACTATGATAAAGTATAGAAATGAATATGGGCCACACACATTAAAAAGAAAAATGATCCAAAAAAAAAGAAAAAAAAAGTTGTAGGTCGTACCCGGATTCGAACCGGGGTTAATTGGATCAAAACCAACTGTGATAACCACTACACTATACAACCTTTATTAATGAATCTTTTTACACTTCGTCTGATAACTTGACAACTTCGAATTAAATAAAGCTTCAAATAGAAGAAATAAAACATTGACTTTGGATAGATAAAAAATAAGAGACAAGAGATTGAACCGAAATATCTTTTGAGCAAAGTCACCAATCACTCGTAACATCGCACTAAATTTTTACACTGAATCACAGTAGTGTGTTAAAAAGCAAAGAAACTATTAAATAATTAGTATCATGCAAGAGATGCTTGATATTGAACGTTAAAAGTCAAACAGAAAAACTACATCATCATATTGTTCAGGTTTATGTATATTTGCAGCTGTCAATACAAATAAGGTTAGTGAAATAAATATTGTAAAATAAAAAAAAAGACGTAAAAAGAACCATTCAACTTTTTTTGGTAGTCACAAAAGAAAAATAAAAACAATAAGAAAAATCCCATCTTTGAATATAAAAAACTAAACTTTTTCCTGATCTAACTCTTTTTCATTTCCTAAGTTAGCATCTGTTACTGTTACTGGTCCTGTTTCAGTAGCGTATTCCAATTTTTCGTTTTCATAATAAAGTCCCTTTTTTGTATCTAGGAATGTAAAGTAAGTAGCGACCAGGGTAACAATTATACCAAGAGAAGCTAAGCAAGCTGTGTAAGTAAATCCTACATGGAAAACTGGTTGATAATCAGTATTCCATACTAAAATTGGAACCCAAGCATTTGTAACGTATGCTAAGGTGTTAGTAACAACAAGAACAAAATTTCTCTTCATATCGTCGTATCTTAACAATCTGTTTACCCACGAATAAATTTGTGGTTGACCCCATGCCGTTGGAACTCCTATTAAAAAGTAACAGAAATATTGATAACCAACAGGTAAATCCCAATGTGCCAAGGATGCACATCCTATTACAAGACAAATGAAAAACAGTTGAACGACAACGAAATTATACCTATTTTTGGTATAATCTGAAATCCATGAAATTGCCACAGTAAATGCGATACCAGCACCATTGATAGCTGTTGGATAAGTGTTATATTTCCCAGAAGTTAAACCTAAATCATATTTCATCCAAGTGGTAAATGTAGGCTCACTTATAGCAGTACAACTATTATTGTAACATAAGAACAATATGGGGAAGACCCAAATGTGCCATGTTGTGAAAAATGATTTAATTTTCTTCCATGTATATTTCTCTCTAGTGTTTAATTGAGCGCCAATCCTTCTTCTTCTTTCTTTTGCAATCAACTTATCCTCTTTAGAAAAATACCAAGCAGTTGAAGTTGAAGGAGTATTTGGGTCTGCGGTCATTGTGTATATGGCAATTGGGAAAGAAATAATGGCATCCACTATAAATAACCACTGGAAAGCTTGGTACCTAGTACTTGATTTGGCTACCCCATTTAATACCGCATCTTGCAAAGGACCAGAAACCATGGAAGCGGCAGTACCTGAACAAGCAAACAAAGATTCTCTTTTACTTAATTCAGCTGGTGAATACCATGAACCAATAAGGTACTCCATAGCTGGGAAAAATCCAGATTCAGTGAGCCCAACTAAAAACCTAATAGCATAAAGTTGATGCATTGTCTTACATGAAACCATACATATGGTCAATAAGGACCAAACAATCTCCAAACAACCAAGATAATATCTAGCTGAAATCCGATGTAAAATTAAATTCGAAGGAATTTGACCAATGATATAACCAACTGTCCAAAGCATTTGTACTGTATTATACTGATTGGACTCCATATCGTAGTAATCACTCATACCATTAACGTATGCAGTAGCTATATTACTGTAATTTAAAGTCTTTATAAAATAACCCAACATGGCCGAAGATAATAAGAAAAAATCCAACTTTAACAAAAATTTTCTTTCCTTTGGATGTTTATCAGCAGAATCCCAAAAAAAAATTGCCAATTTATATTTCCATGTTTTCCTCCTCTCTAATTCTTCAGGTGTCAAATGAACCGTTAAATCAATAAATTTCTCTGTCTCATCTAGATTTAAAGGGGAAGAAGAATCATTGGAAACCGAATTAACCTCTTCATTTATCTCAACATATTTATTATGAGATGCTTCCCTGGAAATACCAGAAGATACAGTATCAGCACCACTGACAACACCGGTTTCTGTCTGCTCAACCATTTCTATAAGATCTCTAAATCTTCAATGAAGTTTTCGCTTAAACAAAAAAAAAGCAAAAGAACATGAAAATTAGGAAAATCAATCTCCTTTAATACTGAAAATTATTCATTCTTAGCCAGTGGACAGTTTATTTGTAATAAACCAAATCATACTTTAAATTAACGCTTAAAAAATTATACATGCCACAGTAAAAAAAAAATTCAGTTTACTACTTTGATTATAGCTAAGAAACTTTAAAACTAACAGGAAGAAAAAAAAAAAAGAAAAAAAGTTCAAGCTTATTCCTACATGCTAATACTCTGGCTCATCGGAACATTATCAAAATTAGGTAAAATTTCGACTTCTGTGTGAATAATGATTGTTAATCCACATTATATTAAAAGACTGTGGATTTTTCACCACACGTCAAATGTCCACTTACACACGTTCATGACATACGTCATGCTAGATAACAAGTGAGGCTCAAATTTTTTTTTTTTTTTTTCCTTTTTAGTGTGAGGTGTGGTTCACAATTTATATTCCTCTAGATGAACAATACTATCTGAAGAATACAAAGAAAAAAGATACTTGAGGTCATAATAGTGAGCGCTCTAGTAACTTTAAGAAAAGCTTTATTATCAAATAAATGAAAGAAGATTTACAGTGGATGTTTTTTTGTAAAAGAACAGTAAAAATACTAGATAATTCTTAAGAATCGGAAATAAAAGGATGTCTTGGTAAACCCCCATTTTGCATATACTTTATTTATTTATTGTTTAAATAGAAGATAGCTTAACTGTTTACACAAACACAAAACCCAATCAGTGGACATAAACTTTTATGTTCTTTCTATAGAAACAAAGATGATAATGAAAAGAATTTTGAAATTGAAAACAGTTGATGGAGAGGGGGGGGTTTTTTTTAAAAAAAAATTTCCTTAATTAAGGAAAGATCAAGACTAAATTATTGCTGAAAATAGTTTGCTATGAAAAATCAAATTCCTGAAAGTGAGTCCATCAACAAAAATGAAAATATAAGAACGTTATCTACAATTGATGAGATTTATACATGTGTGCTTTTCAATGAAATTTTTTTAAAAGCTATTGAGTTTGCTAAGAGCATTGAGCTCGAAATCAAAACAGCTATAATAAATTTATTGTTTGTTCAAATTGATTCACTGATGGCTCTGGAATTACAAGAACTGTTGATTCTTGTCAGAAGTATGATTTCTTCTTTGAAAACAGATTCATATCCAAAATTTAAGGAATTTTCAAAAAATGATTTTATGTATTCAAAAATTATATTCGAAAGTGCAGTTAATAGGTTTCTAAGTGGATTTAAGGAAAATTTAATGAAAACTTTAAATAATTATAATAATAAGTTTAATAATAATCAAAATGAATGCTTTGATGATTATATTTTAGCTGAAAAATGTCATTTAATTTATAAATTTGGAAATAGCTTGATCACACCGAGTCAACAAATAGAAACTCTTGTTGAACTTTTTTCATCAAATGAACCTATAGATTCTTTTGAAATTTTAAGAGAAATTGAAAAAAATTTTAAAATTGATTTTACACAGATTTTATTAAAAAATATAAGAATATCATATATTACTACTACAATTATTCATTTAGAAGATGAAAATATAAAAAACTTTAAAGATTTTTTTCATCGCAAGACATGTAAGGATACACTCGAAAATGATAATATATATGAGATGATTACGGAAAGCTATAATTCTTTTCAAGATACTTTGGTCATTAAAAATAATTTTTTAGCTGAAAAAAATGATATTTTCAGGTTTTTACTTGAAAATGAGAAAACTGGAATTTATATGCTGGTTTTATATAAACAAAAACATGTTTTTCTACTGTTAGTTGGTTTAGGATTAGATTATGTCTGTTTACTTTCAAGTATTTTTTTGAAAGTTACAGGTATAATAGAGCTTTCAAATTATGAAATACTGATTCGAAGTTATTTTTCAGAAATATTAAAACTTTATCTGGAAGTAGAAGTTACATGGGAATTTCAAGCAAAATTAAGCATTTTTAAAAAAATAAATTACAAAGTAATAAGCTCTTTAATTTATGCTCTGGAATCAAGAAATGTTTTTGATAAATATTGTTCAACCATATATGAAACTGAACCTTTTAAATTTACTTCAAATTTTGATGCTTTACTTTGCGGAGAAATTTTTAAAATCCATAGTTTCCAAAATTCTTTTATTGATAATTTCCATTTATTTTTCGAAAAAGACCCATTAGATAATAATATGCTCTTAATTGTTGATCATGATAAAAAAAATTTTTATGAAAAATTTTTACAAATAAAGGAAATTTTTTTAGATGAATTAGGAATTGGTTTGGAAAATAATCAAAACGAACATTCTGGGTTTGAATACTTTATCAACATTTACAAAGAAATAGCCAACAATAATACCACGAACATCGACTTTAAGCAAATCACACCCTACCCACTTATGACCATGGATGAATTAAATGATATGCTTGATTCAATTACATCTGATACATGTACTACCACCTTAGCACCTCTTTGATGGCCCAATACCATCCTCATATATGGAACCTGGCTCAACTGAAAACCAGAATTGGTTTTGTGGTCTAGTTGGTTATGGCATCTGCTTAACACGCAGAACGTCCCCAGTTCGATCCTGGGCAAAATCAATTTTTTTTTAATTTTTTTTTTTTTTTTTTAATTTTTTTCAATTTTATTTTTTACTTTGAAATAGCTCTCTCACGAACATACTGAGAAAAATTTTCCAGTTTTTAATATATAAATCAAAATCTTTTCACTTCTTAGTTAACGTTCTATTTTATTTATTTTTTTTTTTTTTTCTTCTTCTTCCAGT